TCCACAGACCCTGCCTCTCGTCGCCCACATCAACAACTTCGCCTCCGCCTCAACCAGGGGCAGGATCACCGAGATTGTGTCTCCGGACGACTTGATAGACGCCCTGATGGTGCTCGTCAACGCTGCCTACTTCAAGGGCACGTGGCAGTACTTCTTCGACGCCGCGGCCACCATACCGAGGGAGTTCTACGTTACACCCGGGAACGCCATCATGACCCCTATGATGAAACAGATCACGTCCCTTAGATATGGTAAAGATTCTGATGGAAGTGTTGATAGATTAGTAAATAAATATATCCGTTGGAGAGAATATGTTCAGTTAGATAAGTGTATTGATATGTTTATTTCTTCACTTATTCAGTTATTGCAAAGCACAGCCTGTTTCCTTCCATGTTTCACTTTTCATTTACAAGGTTGATTTTCAAAACGTTTTGATTAATTTAAACATCCTTCCCCGTTTCTAGCATTTTCACCGTTATAATTCCTCCCTCCCTTTCCTATCTTAATAAGAAACAGACAACGATTTTCTGTCGTTTTAATCTCTTCGCCAACACGACCTCTTTCTCTGCACACAGGCGAGTTCGACCACATCGCCGCGAGGGTCCTGGAACTGCCATACGCCGGCGGTGCCATGTCCATGTTCCTTTTGCTTCCCATGGACGAAGGGACTCAAGGCTTCGCTAACATGGTGACAAAGCTGAACAAAAACAATATGCGAACCGTGACCCTCGGGAAGGACTTGGTCAAGAAGAATGTTGATCTTCTTTTGCCGAGATTCAGGCTTGAGCAAACAGTGTCCGAGACTCTGATCCCGGTGAGTTGATTCGGTTTGATGTGCTTGGAAATTGATTTTTTAGTTAGTTATATCTAATTCGGTAGCACCATCCAGTAACGACACAGAAACAGCAGTCTGAATAGTAGTACTCGTAGTAGTAGAATTAGCAGTAATAGTGTTAATAGATTAATAACAATAGTAGTTGTAGTTGAAGTAGTAGTAGTGTAGCAGTAGTAGAATAAAAATATGAGTAAAATAGAAGTATTGGGGGTTGTATAGTAGTGGTGATATCAGAACTGTATATCAGATTCATTGCACGAAACCTGACTGAAACGAGTGGGTCGGAGGAATCTGGCGTTTTACTGTCAGCTCTGCAAATACAGTTAATGTTTTGTCATTTTCCTTTTGGTGCCTCTTTAGCAAATGCTATGGTCCTGCAGTTATTTACGATCTGATTCCCAAATGTTCTGCCCATCTTAACGAAACGAAATCTTCTGTCCCAACAGGCTCTTCAGAACATGGGAATCATCGATATCTTCGACAGCAGGAAAGTGGACTTAACAGGTTTTGGACCTTTGCGAAACATCACCGTCGACAAGGCCATACACAAGGCCTTTGTGGAGGTGAACGAAGAAGGCACAGAGGCTGCTGCAGTGACGGCGGCCATCCTCGTGTTCAAGTCGGCTTCGAGCAGTCGAGACGATCTGCCCGTCCAATTCCACTGCAACCGGCCTTTCGTCTTCCTCATCCAGGACAACGATACCCAAAACATTCTCTTCATGGGAGCCTTTAAGCGCCCGCAAGGAAGTGCTCAGTGAGGAGAAGATCCTTTGGGCGGCAACAGGCTGGTTAGGAAGTAATTGCTGCTCAAGTGAAGCGAAGTTAATGAAGTTTGGAAAGAAAATGGGAAGAGGAGAAGGATCAATTTAAAAGAAAACGGAGCCGGTGCTTAGCATGGCATGCACATTATCTCGTCGGAAGATTGTTTAGTGTCACTTTTAGCCTTTGTAGTTTTATTTTCACTTTTCATTTATTTGTTTCCTCTTATTTCTCAGGGCTTGACTCTGTCTCGTATTTATTGTATTTTTGTTGTGTTGTAATATATTGTTAATAAAATTATCACAATTTTAAAGATTAATTCTGTCCTAGATTACTATTTTTTACAAATGATTATGAATAAATGATTTGTAAAAAAATCAAAATCACTATAATAAAAAGGACCTCAATGATAGTAACGTTAAGAATAATTATGATAAGGATAATAATATCAATATCAATAATAACAAACCCAACCACACAATAATGTGAATGATAATGATATTGATTATTAAGATAATGATTAATATTATTATTACATATGTAGTGTAGCTTTGATCACAGACATTCTTTCCAAAGGTGTAAACAACAGTATACAATAATATTGATGGAGGGAATGATAAAAACCTGTAATGTGTATATCAGATTATGCTATCTAGTCCCGTTCTTTTGTATTGGATCGGGGTTTCTAAAACTCTTGTGAAATTTAACTAATACGTAACTTTCATGCTACGGTTTTACACTCTTGTCACTCAGCAGTTCATATTTGCCTACATTGGACCTACGGGAAAGCTGAATAGCAGAAAATCAACGTTAGTTGATGTTATTTAACGGAGTCCTCTTGGTCTGCCGATCGAGAAAAGAATCAGAGATTGTGAGAAACCGAAGGTACTCGTGAGAAAATGAAAG